GGTCGCGGTGCCTCCTCATCGCCTCCTCCTCCTCCTCATCATCATCACCGGGTGAGTGTGACAGGTTGGGCCCTGTCAGGCCCCTTTGTTCGCCTCCCCCGGTGCTGTCGGCCTTCAGCGGGGGGGGAGGAGCGCCCGGTTGTCTTTGTCCGGGGTGTGTTGTTTGTGTGTGTGTGTGTGTGTGGGAAGCAGCTGCTGACGAGATGTCTCTGCCGTCAAGGGAGAGGATCCGGAGGCCGGGGAGAAGATGAGCAGCGAGGGGCTGTGGCTTTTCAAGCAGCTGAACCTCCACCTGGAGCAGGAGGGGCGGTTCCAGCCCCGCGAGAAGGGGCTCAGCCTCATCGAAGGGGCCGCCGAGGTGAGGGGGGAGCTGGGAGGGCCTCCTCGGGGCAGGAAATACCTCTTTTTGTTAAAAACACTCCGGGCTGGGAAATTGGTTCTTTTTTTTTCCCTATAAGACCACTTGCCTATTGTTTTAACTCTGTATTAAGCTGTAGTTACGAGCTTAGGCTGCACTGTCAAGGAACTGTGACCTACAGGGCAAGTAGAATATTTGGGCGTTTAGTATTTATTGTTTAAACTTCGAGTGGACACAGAACCAAATCGAATTGTGTTATTTTCATTTCGGGAGTTTCGTGGCACTGTGTTGTGCCACTGCGGGAAAGCTGGGATGTCGAGCAGGTAAGGTTTTCATTAGCAAGGTTTAGGGAAAGGAACCGAGAAACACCCAGTGCTTAACAGCCAAAAATAATTCTAAGCCTACACATTTCCACGTAAATGACCAGAGTTCCTTACAGAGTTTAGGGCAGGCTTAAATTCCTTCAGATGCTCGTGAGGTTTTTTTGGAAAGGGCCTTCGTGTTTAACAAAAGGAAGTCTCAGAAATCAGTCTGCTTGTTTGTTTTGAAAGCACAGCTTTTAATGCTTATATATTGACATACAGGCAGAGAGGAGAATTGGCTGAGTTTGGTCATCTCAGTTTCCCTAAGGAATCACTGTTACCGTTTGGGAACTGTTGTCTTCAATGAACCTACTTGTTTCCAAGTGCCTACTTGGAAATGTGGTTATGTTTGGTATTGCACCAGTGAGACAGGTTCTGGCCTCGGATGTGTTTTGAGTCTTAAGTATCTTCTTTTTTCATTTAGAGAAATAAAGTATTTTTAGAATTAAAGAATTGCTTCCCTCTGACCTAAGTGAACGATGGCTTAGGGAGAGAGTGGTCACAGTCATCCCTGCTGCCACGGAGTGATTCTGACTTTGCTTCTCTTGCTGTAGAATGAAAACACTCTGTGTCCCAGACAAAGGAATGGCAAGGTGGAAGATCTTTGGAGTCTCACCAACTTCTTCGGTTTTGCAACTGAAACATTTGTTTTGGCTGTTAACATTCTGGACAGATTCTTGGCTCTCATGAAGGTACTTTGTGGGGAGAGGACCTGCTATAATGTCAGCTGGGAATATTTGAGCTTCCTGTGAACTTTGTCGTCTGACAAAAAAGGGCAAGGTTGTGATCTAGGTTGTGACTTACTCGTTCTGTGCTGGGAATGTTTCTGAAGTCCTCCTTTGTAAATTTGAAGTTGAGTGCAGTTTATATATGAAAGGTGAGCTTACATTGGTGTGATTTATTAACTGTTTTATAGTATGGCCTCTTTTTACCTCTAAAGGCAAGCAGCAGCATGGTTTGTCTAATTAGTCTGTAGCCTTCACCACTTAGATGTAAAAGACTAAGAAAGGAGGTGTTAAGAAGGAATAAACCAGCTTGTGTTACAGGCTGTTTCTAGGTACTGTGTTAAAGCTTAGCTTAGCCTTGGGATTAATACCAAATGATCATTTCCTGGATGGTTTTCTTTTTGTGTTTGTGCTGCTTTATGGCAGACAATATTGAATCTAAACCGGTTCCCCATTATCAAGTTGGCAGAAAAACTGGAGTTGCGTCAGTTCTCCGGTCTGACTGCCCTTGGGGTTGTACAAAACGTTATGCAGGTGCACGGGAGCAAATGGCAGAGGTAGTTGTGGAGGGAGAAGACTGCCTAGAACAGGCTCGGGCTGGGTTGGTGTAGGCTTTAAAGGAGGGTAAGTGAGCACTGCCGCTTGGAGAAGCGGGGTACTGCAGTTCTCCCTGCAGCTGAACTGTTAAGAAGTAACAGTTTCGACAGAGGGTACTCAGCTGTCGAACTTCCTCTTGACTTGCTTTACTTCCTCTGTGTTTCATAGACTCATAGGATGGTTTGGGTTGGAAGGGACCTTAAAGATCATCTAGTTCTGATGTAACCAGTTACGAACAGGCGAGGTAGGTCTGGTTGAGATAAGGAAACCTTTCTTACGAGCTGTGAATAACCTCGGTTAGGAGAGCTGTAGCTGTTTGATAAGCATGGTGTTTGAGTCGGGGGGAAGTATTCACAGTGCTTCCTCTTATTTTTAGGTGAAGCCGAAGCATTTGTCTTGCATTGGGGTTTGTTGTTTCCAACTGGCTGCCCGAGTGATTGAAGAAGAATGCAATATTCCATCTGCTCATGAGATCATTCGGATCAGCCAATGTAAATGCACTGTGTCCGACCTGAAACGGATGGAAAAGATAATTTCAGAAAAGTTGCACTTTGAATTTAAAGCTACTACTGCCTTAACCTTCTTGCACTTGTACCATACTATTGTACTCTGTCATACCTCAGAACGGTGAGTTGAGCTGCACGTCTCTGTTAAGCTCGTTTTAGTTGCCTCAAATGATGATAGCAGTGGTTTGTAGAGGAGGCAGCTCCTTAGTTTTCACTTCCTGGCAAGTGAATGCTTGTGGATACAAATGCTTCTGCTCTTGGGTGTCTTACAGGAAAGAAGTATTGAATCTGGACAAGTTGGAAGCACAGCTAAAAGCTTGCAACTGTCGTCTGGTCTTTTCTAAAGCAAAAGTAAGTAGAAGTCACTTTCTTTGACTTCTTCAGTAGGTTTTGATTCATGTCATGTTGAGGGGGGTGTTTTTTTGTCCTCATAGCCATCTGTCTTGGCCTTGTGCCTTCTCACTCTGGAAGTTCAGACTTTGAAATCTGTTGAGCTGTTGGAGATCCTTCTGCGTGTTCAAAAGCATTCAAAGGTAAATATTTTTCTGTGGCTTGTTGTTGCAGTTGTTGGGACTGCTGCAGATAGTGATGTGGGATGTGACACTGGAGGGGTCTCTGCTGTCAGTGTACAGTCCTTACAGCTGATAAAAGCCATGAAATGGGTCTGTGGCCACCTGCCTGCAACTCTTGTGACTGTGGCAGTTTCCTTCGTAGAATGCCACATGCAAAAAAATCTGCTGCTTAGAATCAGAATGTCTTGGGTTGGAAGGGACCTCTAAAGGTCATCTAGTCCAGCCCCCCTGCCATAAGCAGGGACACCTCCAACTTGACCAGGTTGCTCAGAGCCCCATCAAGCCTGACCCAGAATGTCTGCAGGGATGGGGCCAGGGAGGGAATGAGGTGAGGGAGTCATTTTGTACTGGTACATCTTGGCAGCTGCCTGGCAAGCAAAAAGGATTATAGTTTAAAAAACTAGCTTAAATGTATAAGATCAGAAGAAATGCTGACTTAATGCCCATGCTATCACAAGCAGCTGATTTAACTTAGGCAGTTCTAGCTGGTTGCTTCAGAGAAACTTCCAGTAGGTTTGTTGGACTGCAGTCACTGCTGGGCTGGTTGTTATTTTTGCCCTGATTAACTACCATAGAATTTATAGTTCTAGCTGTATACTGTATCAGTTGATGGTTTAAAACAAGCTTTTCAGTCTTCTGGTCAAATTGAACTAGCCCAGTTTCTTGAGGGTTCAAAGTAGTTTCTTAAAGTATGAGGAGTTAAGTTCCATTTTTTCCTCTGGAAGGGGCAGTGAAAATGTCAGCAGTAACTGACAGGCAAACTGTCAGCTTAATTCAGAATTCAGTGTGGGGATTTCTAGGACGTGTTTGTGAGGAGCTCACCTTCAAAAGGCAGCCCTACTTTCTTCAGTGTGGGGATTTCTAGGAGGTGTTCAGGAGCTCACCTTCAAAAGGCAGCCCTACTTTAACTAAAGGTATCACAGTTAAGACATCTTGACTGATATTTTTCCAGGTCTTTTCTGAGAAGGTAAAATAGAATGCTTATCTTTGGAGCTGTGTGTAACAGACTAGACAGATTGTATTTTTTTGCTTTCCAGATAAGTGATAGTGACCTGCTTTACTGGAGGGAACTGGTCTCAAAATGCTTGGCAGATTATTCTTCTCCTGAATGTTGCAAGCCTGATCATAAAAAGCTGGTTTGGATTGTTTCAAGACGTACAGCCCAGAACCTACAAAACAGTTACTACAGTGTTCCTGAGTTGCCAACAATACCAGAGGGTGGATGTTTCAATGAAAGCGAGAGGTTAGTAAAACTTACTGGGTGGTTAATTTGTTGGGAGTTCTCATTTTCTGGAAATGTTAATAGCAACTTTCTAGAACTAGGCCTATTCACTAGTACTTGGAAAACAATTGATAGTTTTGAAAATAGAGGAGGAATTAAAATGTATCTCAAACAATTAAAAAAAAAAATTGAGGAACTGTCATTGTTGTGTTCAAAAAAGTGCAAGTGCTTTGTGTGGGGTGGGGGGAAGAACTGTTGTTTTTTAAGGCAGGGAGGCTTACAAAGCATGTAAGTCTCCTAGAGGGATTTACATTTCATGTCTTGTCATAAATGTCTTGGCTTCTTGGTTGGTAGGTTTTTGGTGTTAGGAGAGAGGAAGTTGTACCTTGTTCTAATTTAAACCTGAGTGCTGGGCAGCATTCAGATCTGGGCTGCAAGGAAACGCAGGATTGTGTCCCTGTTTTCAAGGGGTTGGGTTTTGTTTCAATTACCTTTCCTACTGTTCCTTTTAGTGAAGACTCCTGTGAAGATATGAGCAGCGGAGAAGAAAGCCTTAGCACTTCTCCTCCAAGTGATCTGGAAGGCACCTTCTTCTTTGAAATCAAACCTAAAACAAAGTGGCAAACTCTCAGCTGTCGGTCTTAGCGTTGTCTTGATTGTATTAGCTTGAGATTTTTAATGCACAATGGAGTCCTTTTGCAATAAAAAAAATGAGGTGGTAATCTGTAAACTGTATTAAGGCAAGAATTGCTGTGTTATCTCAATGCTTTGAATGCCTGCCTTGGGTTTTTTGTTGTTGTGATTTTAAGGAAGACAAAAATCCCAATCGGGTCCCTAGTTCAGCAACAAATTCCCTGTTTGGTTCTGTTGTCAACAAGCGTAAATGCAATACCTGGGGCACAGGGCCTGAGAAGGAGAGGTTAAGCAAAATGAGGATGCTCAGCCTGGCAAAGTGGCCTTTGGAAGGGAAATGGGATTGAACAGCAGCCTTGTGGTATTTTGGAGGAGACAATGATTTCAGGGTCTTGACTGAGAAGGATGGAGCAGGAGTGAGAAGCTTTCATTAAACTGTGAGGTTCTTAGGTAATGGCAGAAGCTTGCTCTGTGGGGACAGTCCAGCATGGAAGCCATCCAAGAGAGGCTCTGCAGTCACTGTCCTGGGAGGTTCTCAGGAGCTGTCATGACAAAATCCCATGCTAGACTGGAATTCAGCATTAGCCCTGCTTTGAGCAGGGCATTGGGCTGGAGTCCTTGAGGGCACCTCTACTCCTGTTTGGAATTATAACTTACTCAGCCAGTGTGATCTGTGGAATGACATGTAGTACCAGGCTGAAATGATTTACTGTCAAATACTGAAGCTGCTCTCACACTTCTGTGCTGTGCTCCTTTTCATGTAACCCTCCAAGAAGATGGTTTTCTTTAAACTTGGCTTTTATAAACTTCAGGAATCCCTTGTTCACAACAGGAGCATGAGGGGCAAGTAGCTGATTTCTAGTCAGTACTAGCTTTCACTAAAGGATAGTATAAAGTGTGTGGCAGGGAGTAATTAATATTTTCTTTAATGCTGATGTTTTTACACTGATTCTCATTTTATGCTTCAGTGTGTTGAAAATCTTCACTGTTAACATGTCAACCCATACTATTAGCTTAGACTTATTAACATGGTTAAATCTTGGTAAGTCTGCATTTCTTTTAATATTTAACCCTTGTAGTTGTTTTGCAATATATTCATGTTATTGATTGCATCATAACCAGACTTGTTTGCATGCTTATGTAAAGCAGTTAGTGCAGGAAAAGTGGATATTATGCAGTAATATCAGGTAAATGTGATGTTGATGAAGTAGTTAATGTAATGGGTTTTTTCTCAACTTTTATTATTGAAGCACAAATTGAAGTATGATTGGGTTTCTCCATACTGGGGACGTGGTTAGGTAGCAAGTGGGCTAATTAGCTGGGAATAATGATGTGAAGTGTGTTGGTGCCAAAGTAGAAATGAAGGAGCAGACAAGCTGAAGGCTGTTTTTGTAGATGCAAGCCTTGCTTTAGGATGGTAAGAGCGGTGCTGTGAGTTCATAACTGTTTGTGATTTCAGTTTTATAAAAACAAAAAAGTTTACAAAAAATGTATATAAAAATGTAAATGAAAAAATGTACAGAAAAAAATGTAAAACAAAAAATGAGCAGAAAATACTGTATTTTTTTACACTGTATGTAACTTTTTTGTAGCCATGTTGCATGTAGATAGTAATTTATTGTGTACTCTGTATGATATACATACTGTACATCTGAAGACTTCTTACTGCTTCCTTTGGAAATGGAGTGCTTTGGTTGCAGGTGACAAACCTACTGAGTCTTGTTTTGGTTCAGAACAAAAATAAACCAAGTGCTGTATTTGTTAACTGGTGTAGTTACCGTTGGTTACTTGAAGCTTTTGGCTTGCCTTTTTTTTTTGCTTTGTGACTTTCCTGGAACTGCAGCTATGTTCCAGGTTCCCCACAAGTTCTGGTGGGCAGTTGGCAAAGAGAAAGGCTCGCTGGTGGATGTGAGTCTCTTCTCAGCTTGTCTCCTGTCGGGTTTGGAAGCGAGTGCAAGGTGTCTGCTACTCACCCAGCTGGGTCGTGCTGGGATGAGTGTTGGGAATGGCGCTTTTGCACATCTGGCTTCTGGGAGCTCCCACTAGTGGTGAAGTTAGAGGTCACGACAGGCAAAATGTTCTGGGTCTCTTGTTGGATTTGTGGTTGCTGCTGCTCCCGGCCTTCTGAATGAATGCTGGTGGCAGGATGTGTCTGCACCTTGGCAATCCAAAACGTCTGCGATGACTCAAAGGCAAACCTGACCTTGGTTCCTTTTCATCTCATCCTGCCCATCTTAAAGAATTTCCAAATGGTGCCGCTGTTGCAAAAAATAAGGAATAAGGAACTGCACATGGTTCTTGCTGGAAAGATATTCCCAGCCCCAGAAAGAGAGAAAGAGGCAGCTAGAGCTTGTGCTGAGCTGCCTGCTGAGGTGGCTTTAAGCATCACAATAGACCTATTACACTTTGTACATGATAAACAAATGTTGCCTCTCGTCCTTTCTTGTGCAAAGGATGGAGTGAGAGGAAGCACAAAGATGCTCCCTCTGCCAGGCCAGCCTGTCTTGCAGCTCTGGCTGCTGCTGCTGTGAAGGGAAATCCTGCCTTGGATTTTCCAACATAAAGGCAGAGTGTGTAAGCTGGGGCTGGGAATTAAGAGGATGGTGTCAGTCATAGGTAGGAAGGATATGTGAGAAGAGTTAGGGCCACTGCTGCTGTAAAAATAGTCCTCTTGGTTTTTTTTTTCCTGATGGCCTTCATAGCTAATTTTTTTTAAAAAAATACATGAACACACTACAGGACTTCTCACTTCCCACGTACAACAGATAAGAGATGGGCACTTGATATTCCCAAGCTCTGTATGAAATTCCCTTCTGTCTAATACCTCGCACGTATCATCAGTCAATCATATCATGAAAGTGTTCACCTTTGAAACACACACTGTAATGTCTTAAGAGGAATGGCTTCCATGCTGTCTCTTGTGACCACTTTGAACATGAAAGCTGCTCAGCAAAGGTGTTCAGCTTCTACTTCAAAGGTACCTGCTGGGGTCGCTTCAGTACAGCAACCACCATGCTCAGGAGTCAGCAGATAATGCATGTGCTGCGTAGGTGGGCTGGTAGGAAGCCACAGGCAATGGCCCTGGATTTACTAGCAGCTTGTGAGATCAGCCTCTTTTAATAAAGCTTGAGGTCTACCATTCAGCCCCTTTCAAGTGTGTCCCACCATGAAAAGAAACGTGTTTGCAAGGAGGTTGTCAGGTTTACTTCTGTGGTTTGATAATTTAGGCTCATCTTTGATTTGGCCGGGTCAGATAGCTGTGTATCCCTCAAAGGAGGTTTGCTTGGATTTGTTCAAAGAATGGGGCTTTTGGTGGTTGGGTTGTTGTTGTGTTTTTTGTTGTGTTTTTTTTGGCTTTTTTTTTTAATAGCAGAGCTGTGCCTGCTTTTTAAAAGCTGTTTTGGGCTTTCTTGTACCACAAGGTGAAACTTTGAACTCTTGCAAGTCTCAAGAGTTTAAATATGTGCTTATTTCCATAACTGCTTTGTCAGTAAGACTGGTTTGGGTGGGGATGAGAGGGGGCTGAAAGGGAATGTTTCTGTGGGGAAGACATTCCCTCCTAGCTGTACATTTTCTGTATCATCTCTGGGATGTTACTCCCTGTGTCTTTGTGGGATAATGTCCAACTTATTTAGAGCTGAAGGTTCACGTGGGTGTAGACAAGCCCTGGTTTCTGAGAGGATCAGAGGCGTTTTCTCTCTGCTCAGTTGCCCACAGTTGGCTGAACTGGGCCACAAGGGATTCATAGTGGAACCACTTCTGTTCCTAGTGAATTGAGACACCATAATTAAATGTTGATAATGGCCTTTTAAATAAGAAACTTGCGTTCTCCACTGCCTGATTCCATAAGTGACAAGGAGCAATACAACTTCTCAGCGTAAATCAGTCGGTGTGCTCAGGCCCTGGTCTTTAACAGCTCTTTTTTTTTTCCTGGTGGAATATGTTTCTGTTAGTGCTTAGAGCAGGCTCTGCTTGGCTGTGTAGCACGAAAGGCTGAACCATACTGTGAAGGACCGGCTGGCCTAAAAGACAATGCTGCTTCAGGATCTCATTCCCTTTCTTTGCTTGCTTGTGAAGTGGCTGGACTAACAGGTGAATGCCTGATTCTTGTGATACTACTTCACTCACAGGGCTTCCAAGTGCAGTAAAATATGACCCAATGGATATTGGCGCAAGACCAGAAACCAGCTTCTGCAGATCAACATTCCTTTAACAAGGGAAGATGTTTGTATTTCCATTTCCGAACAATGTCTAACTGGCAGCTGCTGGCTTCAGCCCCCTAAAAACTTCATGTGGGTGAGACTGATGGCTCACGAGATGTTAAGGATGTGCTCCAGGGACCAGCAAAAAGTGCCTTGCTGTCATGCATGCTTGGAGAGCAAGATCTGTTTGCTGTGCACAAGTTAGTGGGTATGTTTGCACACAAGTTCCACCATCACTGGGGAGACACTGAGCAGGAGAGATAAATAGGAGTGGATGTGCAAGTATAGTATAGCAGAGCAAAGCCTTTGCTGGGTCTTCTTGTTTAAATGAACTGTGTACCACCTTCTAAAGACCAAAAGGCAGGATTTTGGTTTCAGGTCTTGGCTGTCAGGTTTCATGTTCTTGCTCTGAATTGCTGTTGTGTAAAAGCTTTTCTGGAATGGAATCAGAGTATAGACAAGGTAATGATTAACACATGTGCTGACAAAACTGCCATTACTGACTAGCTTCTTCACAAAATGGCCTCTGTTTTTGCTCCAGCAGGGTGCCAAGCAGTGTAAACTGAGAGTAGTTAGTGGTGGAGATCAGCTTGGAGGTCACCTGTTGGGACAGCTGAGAGAAACTGTAGAATTTATCAGTGTATAATGATAAAGCATTAGACTAGAAGGTATTAGCCCTAACTGTGGTCTCCATCTACTGTGTATCATATGAGTGTGATATTATTTATCTTAGGATACATGTTGCAACTGTGATGTGTCACACAGCTTTGCTTTATGGCTTTAGCCTGTAGGAGTCTACTGTAGTGCATATACTAAAAGGAGAAAGTTGCCATAACAACTGAATTAAATCAATTAGAGTAATAAGCAATTAAAATATCATCCCTAGTGTTGCATAAACATAGCATTTCATTCATGATTTATTAGCTATCTTGCCTGTAGACCTGTATGTTCCGTTCCTGATTTGCAATCTCAACAATTTTTGAATTAATGAAGCATTTAATTCCTCCTTCAAAGA